CCGGTCCAAAGTCATCCCGCGCCAGGCGCTGCCAGAACACAGAGACCCGAGCGGATGTGGATTGTTACAGACGCCTTCAAGTCTATCCCACCGTGGCTGGTGCTCGGGACAGAGCTTGTTGTCCAGGAATTATGCTTAACCACAAATGGTATTGAAGCAAAGTCCAAGAGATAGGAGAGCACATTGAGCTTGGCACCTGTAAAACAAGAGACCCAAGACTCAAGTTCAGAGCTCAGGAGGGAGCCACAAAGAGGTCCGTTAGGTTGCCCTGTGGGGCTGAGGTGCTAACCTGCAGTCCCTGCCAACCACGTAACAAAGGGCCCTGGGTGAGAAGTGGCAGAGGATCCCTGCTGCAAGCAGCAGACAGCAGAAGACATTGAAATCACGTAGCACTTTTGCTTGCCTGCATATGGAGTTTTTAGGGCCCTGAGTGGGATGAGCAGCTGGAGATGATGGGTAATGTGGGAAGCAGAAGGGACACAGAGGGACTGTCTGTATGACAGAATCATAGAATCAAAGACCTCTACGATCATCAAGTCCAACCATCACCGAATCCCCACCATGACCAGTAAACCATGTCCCCAAGTGCCACTTCTACACATTTTTGTTGAACCCCTCCAGGGATGGTGACTCCACCAGCTCCCTGGGCAGCCTGTTCCAATGCATCACTACACTTTCTGTAAAGAAATTCTTCTGAACATCCAATCTAAACCTCTCGTGGTGTGACTTGAGCCTGTTTTCTCTCATCCGTCCGCTAATAATCTGGGAGAAGAGACCAACACCCACCTCCCTACAACCTCCTTGTAGGCAGCTGTAGAGAGCAATAAGGTCTCCCCTCAGCCTCCTCTTCTCCAGGCTAAACAATTCTGGTTCCCTCAGTGGCTCCTCACAATCCATGTTCCCCAGACCCTTGGGCAGCTTCATTGCCCTTCTCTAGACCTGCCCCAGCACCTCAGTGTTGTTCTCATCCTGTGCTGCCCCGAATTAAACGAAGTACTCAAGCGGCGCCCTCACAAAGGCTGACTACAGGGGCATGCTGACTTCCATACTCCTACAAATGTTGCTCGTCAGGTTCCTTCTGCATGGCCAGAGATTGTGTGAGTGCTGTGTCCAGGCCCTTCAGTGTGTGCCTGCTCCTCTCTTCCTGCAGAGCGTGGCAGGGACAGGGTGGACATGGGTGGGGGCAGGGCTGCCCTCTCCATCTCCTGCAGAGCTGGGGGCAGGCCTGGGCAGCTGGGCAGGCAGCTGATGTGGGGAGAAGTTCATGAGGGATGCCTGTGCCTGGGATGGACAGCACTTAAACCATGATTCTGTTACCTCTCCCTAGAGGCTTCTTGTGGGAGGGGTTGGG